AAAGATCTGCGCTTCAGCGCAATTGGGATCAACATCTCCTTTCAGCAACGCTTCTCTAGTATCCCGTCTCATCTGGAGGCTAGACTAGAGCTAATTGTGTGCATGATGATCAATGATGATCATGGTGATGATGATAATGACATAATTGTTCCAGGTCTATCATTTTAGTAGTCTATAATATCTTTATTTACGAAAATGACCCCCGGGGTACGAAACTAATATTTACTAGAATTATCCAAGAACTAGACAGCGCTGATCAAATACCTGACATTGTACGATTGTACACTTGGGCGATGGTGCGATTACTAAAAATTTTGCCAGCCGGTCATGGCTTAGCTGAAGTAACGCCTACACGCTCCGGTCACAATTTTTCTAGTTATACACTAAAATGAGGTAAGTGGTCAATGCCTCGTCACTTACGCTATGTAACTTCAACAAACAAGTAAATAATACACGTATTTCATCTTTAACAACAAATATTGACATAAAACAAACCTCATACACATACACATTAGACACACAATCAAAGCGTGCGGCTACTAGCGCCACCGCTGCGTGTCGCCAAAGATGTTCACTTTGCCGACATAGCGACGCTAGCTCCCTCAATGCCTAATCCCTCCACAAACTCCACGACAGGTGGCGCTCTCGCTCTGGCTCAATACTACTCTGGCTCAATATTATCCTGAGTGTGGGAAGGAGGCGCTGCATGCAGTTTGATCCCTCCATAGGAATAGAGTGAGTGAGAATAGGAAGTGAGAATGAGAAGAATAGAGTAGAAGAAGAGTAGAAGAAGAAGAGATAGAGTAGAAGAAGTAGAATAGAAGTAGAATGAGTCCCTCGCTAGATTTGAAGACAAAATATTTCTCTACACAAATAATTATCCCAAATACATAAAATAGGAAAATATTAAATGAAGGGTTCTAGATTATGCATGCATATGCTTCGTCTGCCTACAGTTTCGTAGATAGGCCTACACTTATAGCTATTTTAATTAAATTCATTAATTGATTAATCAGTGTGTATTTTTTGTTCATGCAATGTGTGTCACACCACTCTCTATCATTAACTATATATATTCAAACACTATAGCCCCAACATCTGTCGTACGCGCACAAGAGCTCTCTCAACCATTTATGTTTGCCTAAGTATTCTCCTGTATTCAAACCCTTAATTCGATCCACAACTTCAGATCTAAGCAACTGCTGAACCAAAAGTCTCTAGAAATTCGAATAACAAATATTTTTCAGTAGATATAATTTATTAAGGCAAGAAGTGTTGGTCCAGACAATATTTAAATTACAATAGTGTTAAAATATGAGAATCAGATGTTAATTAGTACCAAGAGTAGATAATAACACATGTGTTATTATCTACTCTTGTTAGTACGCAGCCAGTTCTTGGTAATGCCTTTCCATTCGCACATAACTTTCATTATTCTTTAAACATCTCAATATTGATTTTTCTTCTTATCCTGTTGTTCTCTCGATGGCACATAAGGCCAAACATCAATATTAATTGTTTAGTGTGAAAATGCTTCTTTCCTGATTAGATGGCATGCTGATTTATAGCATTTGTTATATGTTTCGTGGGGTTTTTAGAAGAATTCTACACAATAATTATAATGCAGTGAATTATTTTATTTGTTATTTATTGTCTGCGTCATTGAATGAGTGCAAAATATTCACCTTATACAAAACTATCGTGTCATCGACAAATTGGACGAAATGCAATATACACGAGTATTCGTTTCAATCTTTTATGCCGATAATTACACTTACAGTGGCTACAGTGTATACGTAAATATGATAGACGCACACGTGTGCATATGTAGAAGGGAGATATATATATATATATATATATATATATATATATATATACGAACTCGATCATATGCTCACATTCGCCAGTAATTAGTCCAAGCTCTTGTACGACTTGAAAGGTCGATAGTTGCCTCGGAATTTCCATTTGATAGATTACTATTTTATTGTTTCAAGTTTAGGGCGAATATATTTTCAAATGTGAAATGTTTCTTTATATTTTTGATAATTCTGTCAACGTTTGTTAAGCGATGTAGACGTCTGCAGCCAGTACAAACAAATATTGCCACGCACTGCGTTAAAACATCGGGCACAACTATACAGAAGTCTTGACACTTATCCTAATGATATGCACATTACCGGCTATTCCTGCCGTTTACTTTCTTATACAGAGAACCACGTGTAATACATATTCGAAAAATGCGGTGCACTTCTTTACCTCAACATTTTAACAAACAGGTATATGTGTGTGTGTGTGTGTGTGTGTGTGTGTGTGTGTGTGTGTGTGTGTGTGTGTGTGTGCGTGTGCGTGTCGTGTGTGTGTGTCTTCTGCGTGGCGTCGCTGTGCGAGACGCTGCCTGCCGTGCTGTGCCGTGCGTGCGTGTGTGTGTGTGTGTGTGTGTGATTAAATTGGACCGATACCGATTATTGGCAGCACACGAGTATTGGCACAACATACACGCGCGCGCGCCGCGATGAATCATAAGTAGGCAAAACGATAGAAGCGTCTCTGCAGTTACCGGTGTTAGTGCTGGACAAGTGTTAGTGCTGGGCCGCTAACATGATACGTCATACTTTTAATATTCATCACTATATTAGTAACAACGTAATCAGGTTCTGAGCCCCAGCAGTTCGTACTCTGACTAACGTGTCACATCTAGCATCGCCGTGAGCAAGGGAATCCGGCAACACGTATATATACAACTAACTATATAAGTAACTTAGGTGCGACGTTCCACGATTGTCATGTTCGCTGATCTGTCGTCATCATCTCCGCCATCTTGGATGAAACAAGCGAGAAAGAATCTATTTAATCCACGGCGATAATTGCGATGGATAGAAGCGTGCGGGTAACACCGGTGAAGGCGTGTGTGTGAAGTCCCACGCAAGCCGTGTGCGCGCCTATCTAATAATTTTCTTACTAGTGTTCATCTTTGAAGATTAACGCTTCGACGAGCGACCAGCGTTAGCATTCAGACCGTAGTGCCATGATAGATGAGCACGGGCGATGAGTCGAGGTCAACACTACGCGACTTGATTCTGTATTCGTCCGATGAGATCATAGGATTGGAGCTCGTTGGCTGATGGTCGCGAAGGTTTCCCGTCGACGAATGCTGCCGCTGTTGCTTGTACATTCTACCGAAGGCGCGCCCCAACGAACCCTGAAACAGGCGCACAGTTGATTATATGAATAGTTGATATATACTATATAGTAGGACGCTTGTAATTAGTTGTGTTTTCTCGCATGTATTTCTGCCACATTTCTGCCACATTTCTGGCATATTTCTTACAAATAATTTGCGACCGTATATCTGTTACATACATGTGCGTATATCGTGACAGGCATATTAGTATCCCATCACTGACGGCAAGTCGATGAAAATCCGAGAATCTCTGCTGTTCTATTTGTCACACATTTAGCTTAATCCCATGATATGACGCATCGCTCGCTCGCTGCTATTACTATACCGCCGCGGCAGGCAAATATCCGGTTTTCCGCATGCAGTCGTCCATTCTTATGATATTGAAGCTAATATCTGGTGACGTACCCGAAGGCTGGAGCGTTTCTTATTCTTCTCCGCTGGTGCACGCGTTGGCGACATGCCAGCACGTTGGAAGAAAGAGTTGCTTCTGTTTAATCCGGCAGGTGGCAGTGCCATTGCTTGCTGCTCGATGTCGTAAGCGGCACTGAAATCGATACGCGAAAATAGACGTAAAATAATAAATGTCTTTGACGGCTGCAGAGTAGGCGCTGGCAAAATGCGAGTCCGCTCGAGTTATAAGGGGAGCTAGTCTATCATTGTTTAGAAGGCAACGGTTTTGAATTCCCGTACAGGAGAGCCACGGCGGAAACGTAGCTAGTGATTTTCCTCGAAATGGCTTTGAATCGAATTGCGATAAAGGGACGATACGGTAGAACGACTCAAGAGACGGGTGCTATATGACGGATAGTGAATTAGCTTCCTGAATGAAACATCTAGGGATACCTTAACACCTTAGGGATAATTTTTTTACGGGGGCATGAATGTAGGACTGCATGGCCTCTGGGCTGCTATGAATACGGTGAATTCCAAAGGCAGATAATTAGTGGCTACTCAGGCTGCTAGATTCACACGTGCACGCACATACGTGCGCGCATATACATGCACGCACGTACCAGAGCCGTATTCTGTATGCTCGCTCACTCAAACACGTTTTCATGCACGCGTATATGGGAACGCATATACGCACGCATGCACGCACATGTGTGGGCGTGCTCGCTTATTCAACGGCGCACACACGCACGCACGTACGCACGCACGCACGCACGCACGCACGCACGCACGAACACTCACGACTAGCCGACTGCGCTGTAGAATCTGCACTATAATGCGCTGACATATTGGGCATGTTTAAAAGCCCTATTACTAGAACTAGAATGCTCCCAGAGATTTCATATACGCATGAACCCACACAAAGACGTGAGCCCATTAACGCCCATACTTTGCATTTTCCATAACGTACAACAAAAGCACAGAATCCTACAATACTATGAGCTTTCGCATTTTATGTAAATTTAGCGTCTAGCTGTCTATAAGCGCTTTGGCCAGCTGGTTATTTTGTCCGTGCAATTGCAATATGAATGTTATTGTGAATGTGTAGTGATTAAATAAACAGCGTACAACTCACTCACTCACTCACTCACTCACTCACTCACTCACTCACTCACTCACTCACTCACTCACTCACTCACTCACTCACTCACTCACTCACTCACTCACTCACTCACTCACTCACTCACTCACTCACTCTCACTCACTCACTCACTCACTATAACCTACTATTACAATAATATTATATTACAATACTAATTGACACGCTTTGAGCGAGCTTTGCTGTCACTCACCGAGCAAAGTTCATGAGGGCGTCAAACTCTGAAGCTAGCTGTCTGCGCAATTCTAGCTTGGACACGGGAATGTTTAGAACTGTTGCTAGCGTGTCGGCGTCGAACGACTTCTCCATGACAATAAGCGCACCGTGGACGCCACTATTGGACAGATAACCTGAGTATTCCTGCGAGCAGAAACAGAAATGTGAAATACGACGTTAGACGTACACTGACCGAGACTGACGTACACTGACCGAGCAACATTATGCAATATCGTGCTACTATATACTACATGATGAGCATTTCCCTCCCTCCCCCGCTTATCTCTCTCTCTACTCTCTCTCTCGTCTCTCTCTCGTCTCGTCGTCTCTACTCTCCGGTCTACTCTCTCGTCTCTCGGTCTGTCCTAACGTCTCCGTACTACTCCT